AATGCAGGTGTGCTTTACTAATCATTATACATTTTTTAAAAGACATACATTTCACAGAAACAAAAATTATTAGGTACACTCAAGATAAAGCAGCACCCCATGTATTTTTGCTCTGCGTTATTCAGTAGTGTTTGCTCAACCAGGCAAAGCGTGTTAGACTTGTAACTCATTTTGCAGTGTTTCAGCTATGGACATAAATGGACCGTATCTTGGCACCAGAATATTTTACAGACTCTTTTGTATTTGGCCAGAAAGCAATATCCCACCCTACCAACTGCACAGCAATGCTCTAGCAACCACACAGATCACCCCAGCAAATGCGCAGCAATATAATAACAACTACTCAGAAACTACAGAGCAACACTAAAAAAAAAAAACTTTAAGGTAGAAATTTGGCAGCTGTGTCTATCTGAGCTTTACCGTAAAACATATTATAGCAATAGGCTATTTAAAGTTTTATAGATTGAACTTAAATTCAGTAAAAAACATTTCATTTACTGAAATGATGGTAATATACCAAATTATGAAAAATTACCTTTATAAAACACCATCATGGTAACACACACAGAAACACATGAAATGAAATAAATTATTTAAGTACATAGAATGTAAAAATAAACTCCAATATACATAACTTATAGGAAAAAAGTAAGGAGAACGCTCCGGTTACTGGCGTAACCTCGGTTCCCTGAGATAAGGGAACGAGCGTTGTGTATGGGGTAAACTCCTGTTTACTCTGTTACTGAAGCCTGATTTGTTCACGTTTGTGTAGCTGCACAAACCGATGGTGCGTTAAAGGGCGGAGCCAATGTGTATATCAGTCGGCTCGCAGTGCCATTTCATCAGAATCATTCGACTGAAATGACAGTCATCGATTCGTGTGCAGCTTATAGCACGGTAAGTGACACAACGCTCGTTCCCTTATCTCAGGGAACCGAGGTTACTCCAGTAACCAGAGTGTTCCCTTTCGAACATTTACTTCATGTTGTGAATGGGGAACGAATCCAATCACGCCGTGCTATGAGCAGAAGCAGACTAAGGCTGCTCTGCGAGCCCAGTTCTGGAGCACTTGCGTTAAGGGCCCCTAGAGAACTTGAGCCAACTGAGTCTCGAGCGTAGCTGAGGACTTTGGACCTAGCTAAGCAGTTTAAGCTGATAAAATCCCTGCCTGGAGAGCAGGTACATCTAGGCTGTAAAATCTGGCAAACGTGGATGGCGACGACCAGCCGGCGACCGCACATATCTCACCAATAGAGATTCTGCTGGACCAAGCCCATGAGGAGGCCATTCCTCTAGTGGAGTGGGCCCTCACGCCTGTGGGGCATTGCAAACCTTCTGAGGCATAAACCAAGGCTATAGCATCAATTATCCAGCAGGATAGTCTATGCTTTGTAACCGGCAGCCCCTTAGAGCGGCCTCTAAAGCAAACGAAAAGCTGCTTTGACTGTCTAAACAGGCTGGAGCGTTCAAGATATATTCTCAGGGCCCTGACGGGGCAGAGAACATTGGGACAATGCTCACCATCTGTAGTGGGGAGCGCCAGAAGGATAATTACCTGGGCTCTGAATGGAGTTGAGAGCACCTTCGGAACATATCCATGTCTAGGCTTGAGGACGACTTTACAGTCGCTAGGCCCAAACTCCAGACAGGAAGCACTGATTGACAGTGCTTTTAAGTCACCCACTCGCCGATGCTAGTGCCAGTAGAAGAGCGGTTTTCAGCGACAAAGGGCGTAGTTCAGCTGAATGTAGTGGCTCGAAGGGAGGACCCCGTAGGGCCCTAAGGACGATTGACAAGTCCCAGATCGGTACGGTCTGAGGACGAGGAGGGTTTAATCTCCGGACGCCCTTCAAGAACTTAACGATCAGATTGTTTCTGCCGATCGAATGGCCAGCTTCGAGGGAATGATTCGCTGCGATAGCTGCCATGTAAACTTTGAGTGTGGAAGGGGCACGCCCGTTGTCCAACAACTCTTGTAGAAAGGATAGCACGTGGGACACTTCACAAGATACCGGGTCCAGGCTTCGTGCAGTACACCAGTCACAAAAGACTGACCATTTAAGGGCATAAAGGTGTCTTGTAGACGGTGCTCTAGCCTCTAAAATGGTATCACTCACTCTTGCTGGGACCTGCGTAAGCTCCCGTCAAGGCTCCATACATGAAGGATCCACAGCTCTCCCAGTTTTAGGGATGCCGCCAGTCGCTGAATAGTCAGGGACCGTTCCGGTGTGACCCAAGCCCGCATCTGGGCAAAGTCCAAAATCGTCCCCAGAAAGACTACTTGCTGTCTAGGAGACCGATGACCGAAGGTTCATGTTCAACCCGAGGCGCTCCAAGTGGCTGAGTAACAGCACTCAGTAAGCAACTAATTCCCGTTCTGATTTGGCCAGGATCAGCCAGTCGTCGAGGTAGTTGAGTATGCAGATTCCCATCTACCTCAGAGGGGAAAGAGTCTAACCATCTATGCACTTCGTAAAAGTGTGAGGGGTCAGAGACCGTCCAAATGGTAGGACTGTATATTGGTAGGCCACTCCCTCGAATGTGAATCTCAAGAACGGCCTGTGATGGGGGGCTATGTGGATGTAAAAGTAAGCATCTTTCAGGTCTACTGTTAAAAACCCATCCTCGGGGCTAATGTGTGCGAGGATCTGTTTGATAGGTAACATCTTGAATGGCAGGAGCATAAGTGAGCGATTCATATGTCTGAGATCCAGAATTGGTCTCAGCCCGCTACCTTCTTTGGGAACGAGCAAGTAGTGGCTGTAAAAGCCTGACTCGCTGTTCGCTGTAGACACTATTTCTATAGTACCTTTTGCAAGCAGTGTTTGCACTTCGTGTCGGAGAACGTGTTCATTGTCCTGAACTGAAGTGTGAATAATACCTCCGAAACGAGGTGGCCTGTGAGCAAACTGAAGCGAGTAGTCTTGTTTTTAGAACCCAGCTTGACACACCCGGTATGGCTGCCCAGGCCATGAACCGGGATGCAAGTGGATCTAATTTTCCAAATGAAAGTTAGCCGCGAGGGGGCGGGGAACTGATATCCGTGTGTCTAAATGTGGGAAGAGGAAATTTACTCTTTTGAGTATTTGGGTCTGCTGTCACAGCGGTAAAACATTCGGGTACGCGCTGCACCTGCAGGGCGTGACCCGTGGGAAACAAAACTCCCATTGCTCAGAGGTGTTCGGAGGAATGGAGGGTGAAAGTGAGCTGTTTTTGAGGGAGTTCTGACTGAGGTGAGAACTGACCCTTTCCTCTTCCTTTCTGATGGGTCAGGACAGCTTCTGGGGCTCAGGGTCCAGCACTAGCCAAGGGCGTGGGCCTTGGCATTTCGGGTAAGGAAACCGCTTTTCCATCCAGGGGCGCTGCTGAAGCCCGGGCTCAGACTTCTGAGGCTGAGGCGCGCGCCGGCTTTGCGGGCTGAGGGGATGGGGCTTTCTGGCGGCTAGCAGCCACAGCACCAGAGTGCTTAGGAAGGAAGTGACGCAGCACTTCTGAGCCTCTGAGAAGCCTTGTGCAAACCCGTCCACAGCGGGGCCAAAGAGGCCCTTTGGTGAGACCGGAGAATCAAGGAACCGTCTTCTCGGCGTCCCTTATTTCAGTGAGTTTCAGCCAAAGGTGGCACTCCAACACCACCAACCCGGCCATGATCTTGCCGATAGCCTGAGCTGTGGCTTTCGTAGTGCGCAGAGCCAAATCAGTCGCTGTGCGCAGCTCTTTGAAAGCATCCTGATGTTGGCCAGGCTCATCCATATCATGGAGAAGTTTGGCCTGAAACACTTGTAGGACTGCCATCGTATGCAGTGCCGATCCGGCCTGACCAGCTGCTGCATATGCCCTGTTGGCCAGAGCCGAAGTGGTCCTGCAGGGCTTCGAGGGATGAGCTGCGTGAGCCATTAATCCTAGCGCAGACGGTGGGCACAAGTGAGCAGCTACCGCCTCCTCCAGAGGGGGGAGCTTGCTATAGCCTTTTTCCTCAGCGCCATCAACGGTGGTGAGAGTTGCTGAGGAGGAGGAGCTAACTCGGGCCGAATAGGGGGCACACCATGTCTTGGTCAGTTGTTCGTGAACTTCAGGTAAGAACGGGGCCGGCCCCTGGCGGGAAGGCGGCTGACGGCGTCCCGGCGGGAACCACTCATCTAAGAGGCTATAGGTGAGTGGACAAACTCGTATTCTCTCAATGAGAACATGAGCCGTTAGTGAGCGCAGCCTTTGCGTGGGTGCTGCCCAGGCAGGCATCACACTCGCTGTGCCCGTCTGACTCGTGCAAGGAGCCGCACTCGCAGCGCAACATTTGCAACAATGCGTGCTGGAAATTTGCTCTTTTAGAACGCGCCGGATGGCTGCAGGGGAGACTTGTCCTCTGCCGGGGCTCTTCGACGGCAGCAAGCGGGTTGAGCTTCTTTCCGTCTTCTTTCTTCGGCTTCTTGCAGAGTCAGCGAAGAGTAGATCCTCATCGCTGAAGGAGAAGATTCTGATGAAATGGCATTGCGAGCCGACTTATATACACGTCGGCTTTGCCTTTTCTGGCAGGCTAAAGCGCCATTGGTTTGTGCAGCTACACAAACGTGAACAAATCACGCTTCAGTAGCAGAGTAAACAGGAGTTTACCCCATACACAATGTGAAGTGAACGTTCGAAAGGGAAACATGGTTATTTCAGTGGAAAAACCATTAAATGTGAAGACATTAAGACATCACATAAAGAATTTTGGAAATGTCAATTAGATCAGTTACAGTTTTTCATTGAATAGAGCAAAGTAACTTACCATAGCTGGTTTTTACTGCATTCATAGCATTTTTACAGTCTTTTATGTTTAAATTAATAGTTCTTTATACAGTGAGTGCCTAGCATTGTGGTGGAAAGTTTTGCATGCAACTTTACATTTTTTCAGAGAATGTAAAAATACATTTGACATATTTACAATTCAGCTTACAATCATGGCAAGGTGACCAAATAATATTAATTTTCTTTGTGATGTGATAGTTCAT